AAGCTGTAGGACTGCAGTTCCCATCACTCCCCCCCCAATCCAGCATGGCTAAGGGTCAGGGGTGATGTAGTCCAGTGGGTCACACATTCATCACAAGTGGGCATAGGCAGAACATGCTTTCCCAACCACTGGGTAACTGCAACAGGCTTCATTCATTGCATACCCCTCAACTATCCTGGAAAAACTGGGACATATTTTTTTTTGCCTGAGAACACCAAAGCCATTTTGGGTGGCATGATCTTGTCCCCCCCCCCTCCCAGCAGCCTTGATTATTGTAACTCGCTCTACGCGGGGCTGCTCTTGAAGCTGACCCAGAAACTCCAGCGGGTGCTGAATGCCGTGGTGAGGCTCCTTACGGGGTCCTTGCTGTGGGATCATATTCATCCAGTGCTTTACCAACTGCACTGGCTCCTGGTGGAGTACAGGGTTAGGTTTAAGGGGCTGGTTTTGACCTTTAAAGTCATATGAGGCATAGGACCCACGTACCTATGGGACCGCCTCTCCTGGTACGCCCTGCGGAGGACCATAAGGTCCACAAATGACAACATTTTGGAGGTCCCAAGTCACAAAGGTGGTTAGATTGGTCTCAACTAGGGCCAGGGCTTTTTCAGTACTGGCCCCAACTTGGTGGAATGCTCTGTCACAAGAGACTAGGGCCCTGCAGGACTTGACATCTTTCCGCAGGGCCTGCAAGACAGAGCTGTTCCGCCTGGCCTTTGGTTTGGACTCAGACTGACCCTTATATTTCCTTCCCCTTATGGTCTTGATTTATCGGCTACTTTAAAATGAGGCTGCATTTTAAATTGCATTTTAACCTGTATTTTAAATTGCCCCCCCTTTATGTTTTTACTGTAATTTTACTGGTGTTAGGTGCCCTGAGCCTGGCTCTGGCCGGGGAGGGCGGGGTATAAATAAAATTTATTATTAATTTATTATTTTTAGGGGCTGCAACCTCATGCAGGTAACGTGGCCTGGAAGACGCATCCTGGTTTTGGGCCTGGACATTTTTGGAGGGTATGCCATTGGTATGACATTTTTGGAGGGTATGCCATTGCCAGACCACTGATAAAGGTCTGCATGGCATCCATAGCCCTGACAACTTTAGCTGGGAAGCGAATGTTGAAAGTTTGAGCTAGAGTTAAAACGGACATTAATCTTGACTTTCAGGAAGGCAATGATTTAACAAAAGACTGCAGAGCTGACCTTGTAAATGGTCAACCAGGGCACTCCATGCAGCTCACTTCCAAGGCTTTCTGCGCTTACGTTTCTTCTACACAAACCTACAACCAATGCAATTATGGAAATAAGATATGCTATAAATAGTGTGAAATTGAGAGCAGTTTAGATTATACAGGCCCGCAAAGCGAAGTAACCTCTACTTATAATTTTCTGCCCTTTCTACCCAAACCGGCAATTACCTCCACATTTGTAATCAAAGGGAAGGCAGATTGCAGAATGTGGCACACACTGCCACGGGTACATGGTCGGCTCAATCCCATCTTGACGTGCGCACCCACCTGCAATTAGCTATAGCCTCAGATGACTCCTGCAAAAGTTCCAAAGGTAGCAGGTCAATGAGAGAAACGCAATGCTTTGCAAAAGGAGGCCATGTTTCAAAGCCACAAACAGTGCAACCCCATAAACGCGTTTACTCATCAGTAAGACCCATTGGTGATCAGTGGGACTTACCCCAAGGTTGGCGGTTTGAATCCCCGCGACGGGGTGAGCTCCCGTTGCTTGGTCCCTGCTCCTGCCAACCTAGCAGTTCGAAAGCATGTCAAAGTGCAAGTAGATAAATAGGTACTGCTCTGGCGGGAAGGTAAACGGCGTTTCCGTGCTCTGCTCTGGTTCTCCAGAAGCGGCTTAGTCATGCTGGACACATGACCCGGAAGCTGTACACTGGCTCCCTCGGCCAATAAAGCCACAACCCCAGAGTCGTCCACGACTGGACCTAATGGTCAGGGGTCCCTTTACCTTTAGGTCTGTATAGCAGTGGTGAGGAATCTTTTTCTAGCCTCAGAGCCACACGGGGAACCTTTTGGGGCTGCATACCGAGGATGGGGGTGGACGAAAAGGGCAAAAGCGGGCAGAACAATGGATGCGGCTCTTAAATTTGTACAGGTTACCTTCTAGCCTTGCAAAAATCGGGGGTGACAAGACACCCCCCCTGCAAATATGTAAACTGAATTTTCAAAACTACACACTTGAAGAAACAATTGTGGCTGTGCATACTTTAAGACGGCTCACTGCCGGAATGATATAATTTTTACATCTACTGTTTTTTCTGTGTATTAGACGAGGGTATTTTATTAAAAATTATGTTTAAAAAATTTGCTCGTCTTATAGACCAGGTAGTGCTAAGAGGTGAAGTGCGACTGCGAGTCGGCAGTATCCCCCCCCCCTAAAAAAGATCAGCAACTCTGGGCAATTCTCCTTAAAAAAGCTTAACAATTCTTGGCAATCTCCCCCTATTTTCTCAATGCTGAGTCCCCCAAAATAGGGGGCATCTTATACATGGGTGGTGTGTGTGTGTGTGTTATACACAGAAAAATACGGCAATTCACACTGCATAATTAAAACAAGATGGTGATGATGATTATTTAAATTGTTACCGTGTTTAGCTGTACATTCATGCACTTTTAGTGACCACTCTAGGAAATCTATTCAAATGATACAACTAAGGCTGATGGTTAAAATGATTGTGACAGACGGGTTTAGTGTTTTCAGGCTTTCAATTGACATATTTCACCAATACACATAAAGGTATTTTGTTTTGATTAGTAGCTGGTAGATGATATACCAGATTAGGCAGGTTCCTTTGCTGCAGTTTTTGGCACCTCTTAAAAACTTTTTAAACTAAGCCTATCCAAACACATATATTTGACATGTATTTTAATATGCCATTTGATTTTTACAATGTGTATTTTTAAAATGGATTTTGTTAATATTCGGTGGGGGATATTGTTTCTAAAACATCTGATTTACAATTTAGAATTGTAGAGTTGGAAGGGTCAATAATTTTGACATATATAGTGGTACCTTGGGTTACATACGCTTCAGGTTACAGACTCTGTTAACCCAGAAGTATTACCTCAGGTTAAGAATTTTGCTTCAGGATGAGAACAGAAATCGTGCTCCGGCAGCACCAGGAAGCCCCATTAGCTAAAGTGGTGCTTCAGGTTAAGAACAGTTTCAGGTTAAGAACAGACCTCCAGAACGAATGAAGTACTTAACCTGAGGTACCACTGTACTTTATATGGACAGCTTAGAGGTTTTGACGATTAAGCATTATATAAATCCTATCAAAATACAATTATTCTGATAAACAAGCAAGATGTTCTAAGTCTGCTCATGTCCAGATTAGAGATTTTATTTAGGGAAATGAATTCCAAATCCGAAAACAGAAATAGGCACAGAGAAAAATTTGGAATACCTGTTAAGACAGTGGCTGCACAACCAGAACTGCAGATCGGAGGGCTTTCGGGTTTTCAATTCTTTAACAAGAAGCCTTCGTAGCACATTTATTACCAGCCCCTTTCACACCAAGGTCCCTGGGGCAAGTAATGACTAACCAGTTTTGTGACAGCTGTTACTGCATCTTGGTCTGCATCAATTAAGGTGCATTAGATTCCCCCCATTTTTTTGCATCGCAGTGTCCATTACATTCTGTGAAAGAAGTCACACAGATTTCTGCCCCAGAGGGATAAGGTGTATTAGTCAGTTATAACGAAGAGTATCTTAAATGGCACTTATAAGGCTAAAAGAAACATTTACTTCATGGACTAGAGAGTTTCACCATGTCTGATGTAAAAAATGCTGTTCTCGTTTGGCAGACTGCGGGGGGAATTCAATACTGCGCTATGAGAAAACATTGCACCTGCATGAGCATTTCAGCTGGCCAGGTGTGTACAGCGTCTGCAGATAAACTAGGTGAATCCCACCCTATAAATCTACACGAAGAGAAGTACAAAGAGGGAAAGGAATAAACGGGAGTTTGCCATTCCATTCATTCAAGCGCTTCAGATCTGAGTTGTCCTAGTTGAAGTCAAGTTTTATATTTAATCACAACTTCATAATATGAGAATTTTGGCCAACAACTGGCATTATGGGGAAGTGGGAGAGAATTAAAAAAAGGCCAACTTGCAGTTTACACAGACTTCTGGTCTGCTAATAGCTGTTCTGCTCCTCGTAGTCAGAAAAAAAACCACCAGAACAGTGCACAGAGGGGAGGAGGGTGGAATCATTCTGTTTGGCAATCAGAAATGCTTGCTCTGATGGAAGGGTCAAAAGACAGCAATGTTGAATTCCACCCAAATTGGCGGGAGAATTGATTCCCTCCCCCAATTCACATTTATGTTTGACGGAGATAGAACAATTTTCAAGGCCGCTTCACTTGTGCTACCCTCAGTGTTGGAAAAGCCGAAGTGATTGTTCATGTTTATTGGGGGGGGGGGAAGTCAATTATTCAAAGAGATTATAGAGCAATACCATTATCTATATGGCTGGTATCCAGAAGGTTTGCCATTATCTTTAAGTATTTAGTTCTGATTTTGATGCAGCAGTTGAAATGGTCATCAAAACCACATTAAAAAGTTTTTTTAAAAAAAGGGGGGGGGGTTGTGATCTTAAAATCAGAAGAGGAAAAAACCCTGAGCAAGATCCAGCATCATGTGAGCAAATACAATGGGATTTCTCCTGCCTCTCTGCATCTCTCTCTCCCACCCCCCATATCTCTGGTTGGTCCACCAACCACCCCAAGCAGATTCTTTGAGATTGCTGGGGGGAAGCAAAGAAAGAGGAAATCCATTGTACAGGCAAGACGCATTGAGCCTTGAAAGAAAGTAATTCAAAATATCAACCGTCTCTCATTTTCCATAATTATACACTTTTCAGTGGTAGTGAAATAATACTTGAGAAATCCACATGCCATCTTGATATAAATCTCTCCAAACCCATGAATCCATTTTTTTTTTAAAAAAAGAAACTGATAAACATCCAGCAATCTTTGGTTATTTTAGTCCTAATTCAAATGACATATCCAATCTTGCCCCAAATATGCTGAAAACATCTAAGATACTGTTCTGTTTCAACTAGAAGAGAACTCTGGTATTGGCACTTACTGAACTACAAGTTTTTAAAATCTAAAGAAAAATAAAATAAAATGTTATCAGCTGTGTAGGCCGGCTTTTAAAAATTGTCATCTATATTCAACTGCATTCCCAAGAGCAGAACTTGATCCATTATCAGATTTTTAACATAGTTGATGCTTAGTTCCTCCAGATCTGATGAAACCAAAGCCTCACATTAGTTTTCTGAACTTTTTTGAAGCTCTGAATGTGAACAATGTGGGATTATCAGGTGTAAACACACACAACTGAGTTCTGTAATGTCTAAATTCTAAGCAACAGGTTGCAGTTTTCTCATCAAAACAAATAAAAAACCACTATCAATGTTGTTCTGCAGTACAAACACATACAGGGGATTTGTTATTTCTGACGTGAAACCTTTTAACGTCTGTATCATAATTGGAAAATCACCTAAAGAACGAAAACTAAGGAATGTGTAGCACTTTTAAAGAACATAAATAAAATTTAGAAACAAGTTTGTAAAGCACTAATATTTCAGTAAAACAAACTGCTTGACTGTTTTATTATCAAAATAAACTACATTTGATTGCTCCTGGAGTCAAAAACCTGTAAGCAGCGATCATAAAAAGATGGGTTACTGGAAACATTCAAAATTCCAATGATGTTTACAAGTACTTTGTACAAAAAGTCCTTTAAAGATGTTCCGTATGTTGCAAAAAATACTGCTTTCACCACAAGACAGAATTTGCATTTCAAAAGCAGTCTACTAGAGTCATTTGCGCCTATGTGGGGAATCGCCCCTGTGCTTTCGCCTGCCCTCGTCTCTCCTTGACTCTTTAAATTGGTCCGGATATTGCCTGGGCTCATCCATCCTGGGATTGGGATAGTTACGGGGTCTCTCTCTAGACTTTGATCTGTCTTTCCTCCGTCTGTGGAGTTCACCATCCCTATCACGGCGACTGTCCCTCCCTTCGTTATCAGAAAAAGAATTCTGCCTTTCGGCCCTCTTCTTCTTAGATTGGGTACTTTTGCTTTCCGAAGGCGTATTTCTTTCCTGATCCCTGTCCTTTCCACCGCTGTAGGTGTTCCTGTCAGCGGAATAATCTCTGTCATGGGAGAGTTTCTGTGATGCATCATCTCTCCGACTTAAGTCTCTTGAATTCTTGTCAGCATTCCTCTCAGCACCGTTTTCCCTCTCAGGCTGCCTCTTCTCTTTTTTCCTGTCAAGCTGTTTCTTTCGACTTCCTTGCTTTCTCTTGGCGTCTCTGTCCGATGCTTTCTTCTTCTGTGATTTCCGCTTTCTCACGTCTGAAAGGATCATAAACAGAATTTACCCTTTTAATATATTCACATTCCTTTATTCGCACGTCAAAATATATTGGCTTTATTTAAAGAACCTACAGCAGGCTTCCTCAACCTTGGCCCTCCAGATGTTTTGAGACAACAATTCCCATCTTCCCCAACCACTGCTCCTTCTAGCTATGGATCATGGGAGTTGTAGGACAAAAACATCTGGAGGGCCGAGGTTGAGGAAGCCTGGCCTACAGTAAGGGGAAGGACCACCAATTCCCCACTGCAACAAAGACATTTAAGCCATTCTGGTGGGGTCTCTCAACTCTCTGGAGCAAACTGAGCTGCAGACAGGAGGGAAATAAACCTAAATAGACAACAAGGAATATTTTCTTCTCATGCAGTGAGACCTTTCGATCCAAGCTACAGAAAATTTTACAGATACTTTGACAATCATATTATCAAGTTGTGCTCTGGGTACTGAGCTTGAGTTAGTAACTGTGGATGTGTTCATTTCCTTCTCTTTGCTGAAGGTTTTTCCAAAACTTGTGGCAGATATTTAGCTTGCTCTGTTATTTGGACAACCACTCAGAGAAAAAGAGAGAGAAATCTATGTAATGTCAACATTGCGCATACTACTATTTCCTACAGACTTTATTAGATTTTAAAAGTCAGGAAAGACAGTTCAATTCAGCTCCATTTTACTTTCCTCTCAAAATCCAGAGGGCCAAATAATTTGGACTACTTAAAAATAATTTTATTCCCCATCTGTGTACTGGCTTCATTTATACATTTAGATCAGTAAACGGGTAGGGAAGGGGGGGGGATATTTAACATGGGAACTAGACCATGTAAAAAGTATCTTAGGAGACGCATATTCTTTACCTTTACTCAAGTTCTTAGTACTTCAAGGTAACTTCTGTGCTGCAACATGAGCCCTTGCATGTGCCCTAGACTAATGGATGTGCATGCAGTTCTTTCTTTGTACTATTTTAAGAATTTGCAACTAGAAATTGGGACTTAAAATATGAGCTGCCAAGGTATATTCACCATCAGCAATAATATGCTAAACAGACTCGCTGTTGGGACGAAAAGATGACTACACAGCACATCACTGAAAACTGACCGTACTTCTTCCTACTGCATGCATTGTACAACATGCTGACCAGATTCGTCTTCCTGTTTTTAGATAACAAGGAATTGGCTGATCTGTCTTCAGTGGCAAAAAAGCCCTCCTTGAAGTGGACAGTCATGCCAAAATGTTAAGCCACCTGCCTTTGGAGGATCTGGAGTGGGGGAAAGGGGGAGCAGAAATGTCTCCTTATATGAGCAGAAAGAGTCTCACAATACTTTGGATCAAAATCACCATACTTCATATACATTGCCTCTATGGTCCTTGCAACGAAGCAGTAAGGTATTGTTATCCCCCTATCACAGACATAACTTGCCTAGAATCATCCAGTGATAAAGTAACATGTGCTGGGCTTCCTACGCATGTTCTTAACTTCTATACTATACCAATAAAATGAGCAGTTCCTGACCATAATGCTCTCAACACAGCAGCTTTAATGCTGTGTTGTGATATGATGAATTAAGTTGACAGTAACTGTCCCATGGTCTGACTTTTAACTGAAAGTTACAATGAAGTTTCAAAAGGGTGATGATCCTTCAGATTACAGTGGTACCTCGGGTTACATACGCTTCAGGTTACATACGCTTCAGGTTAGACTCCGCTAACCCAGAAATAGTACTTCAGGATGAGAACAGAAATCGCGCAACGGCGCAGCAGCAGCGGCAGGCCCCATTAGCTAAAGTGGTACCTCAGGTTAAGAACAGTTTCAGGTTAAGAACGGACCTTCGGAACCAATTAAGTACATAACCAGAGGTACTACTGTATTTATTTTCAGTCGTTTGACCTCTCAAATTTAAGTCTTCAATTTTCCCTTGATTGTAGGACTGTAAGTTAATTTTAGTGCAGTTTTGCCCCTGCCCACCCAACCTTATGCTGGAGTACAAATTTAACATGCTGGGCATTTTGAGAAGTAATTCAATGTGGAGACACTGGGATTTTAAAGGAGATACATCAAGGAAAGCCCAGTGGCATTTGTATAGAGGCATATAGCAAACTTAAGTATCTGTTAAAATATAAAGACCTGCATTCCCCTTTACAAAAAGATACAGTAGGGTAAAACCAATGAAGCTTTAGCACAATAGTCAAGTTTTATAGTAGTATCTTCTTGAGTTTTCTGGTACAACCCTGAGGTCTGAATGTTGCTGAAAACAAAGTTTTGACTCCCACTACTACTGCTAGATAGACATTCTAGATATCCTCTGCCAGACATTCTGGAAGCACTCCTCTAAAATAATGCAACATCTTCATTGTTGCAGAATTACACGAAGATAAAAAGTACAATTTGAACAGCAGCAAACTACTAGCCTGAAGTTCTCTTCACAAAACTTTGCAAGTAAAATAGAAGCTGACTCTTGAATCAAACAGTCTAAGTACCCCTGGCTTTTCATCATTTTGGCAATATTTCTGCTTGTGGTGTACAAAAAATGAAAGAAATCGTAACAATTCAGAGCATACCGCTGAGACTATCAAATCATTTCATTAGGGTATCTTTTTTCCCCCTCCAATGGGAGAAAGGATAAAACATTAGAAGAGAACGTATTAAATTAAAACCGAACAGCAAAAAGAAAGAAAGCCAGCCCTGCGCACTCTAGCAGAATCCGTTAATTTGTCACCAAGGACCTCCCTGGTTCCCATCTTGCTGCAGCTGTCTATGCAGGAGCCATCTGGCTCTCTGCTGAAATGCCACTTCCCTGACCCCGCTTCCATTCTGCCTTCCTTTACTGCTCTGGTGTTACTGATGAGTTGCCTGGTAATAGCAATAAAAAGCAAACGCCGCAAATTACAGAGGGCTGCTTTTCATGCATTCATAACCTACACTGGGTTTTTGTGAATCAGAAGACTTCTGCTCTTAAAACCCACCGATAAATCTAATTTATTTTAAGTCAGCATGCTTCTTGCCTGCATAAGCTCATGCTGGGCGATCATCTGCTCTCACAGCTAACTGCGTGCGTGATCCAGACTGGGCTAGCAGGCACTATTGGACTTAATAAGGTTCAATTATATAATTCATATCAACTAGTTGGAATGAAAAGTCAGTAGAAACACTCGCTCAAAAATACTAATTATAGAATGGAAGTTACTAGATATACTGCGCTGCTGTCAGCAAAAGTACCTTGGACCCAGAAAGAAAAACACAATACAAGCTGTTTTACGTTCAGTCATAATAATGGTAGAATGCTACCATAAATATTTTCTGCTTCAGATACACATATCTGACACACACGTACACAGCAAAAGAGAAAGAGCTGCTTATTGTTTGTTAAGCTGACAAAACAGGCGGAGAAAATAACTTGTTTACACACCGGCACTGCCTAAGGCGGGGAGAGAGGATTTAAAGGTGACCCTTTAGCTCCAAACACACCATTGTCCACATTGGTAGTTCAGTATCTCACTGCTGAACAGCTTGAAGTGAGTTCTTCTGCGTCACTATGATACGATGGCCATGCAATAGGCTTGTTTGGCTGCCTATTACAAGGCACGACATGAGCCATTCTAATTATCCAGGTGCTCACATTTCGAAACCTTCAATTGTGCAAACGAGGTTTTTCTGCAGACTAGCCACTCACAAGTACGCTCAAGCTGCAATTCCAAACACACCTACTAGGGACTATGACCCATTTAAACACAGCAGGGCTTACCCTGGGATAAAACTTTTTTTCCAAACAAGGAAAGGGCTAGTTATCAATATTTCTTTCTTTCTTTTTACCATGTATCCTTTTCATTTTCAAGCTAACAACTCCATGTGTAAATAATTATGAAAATAATCGTAAACCAGTCTCCCAACAAGGTGATCTGACTTACTGAAATCACATGGGGCTGTGGTTGAAATGGAAACATTTGTATCTGCCTAGATTTAAAACATTGGCTTTGTTTTGCAATAAAATACCTAACATCCAGATTAGTCTGGGAAAGAGTTATACGTGCCGTTTTCAGGCTGACAATGCATTGTTGAAAAGACTCCTGCAAGTTTCAAATAGCTAAAATCAACAGCACACAGGAACTAATAAATGAGTAAATAGACGCTGCTATTTTTTTCCTCAGTTAATGTGCACCAGGGCATGCAGAGTAAAAAAAAGAAGAAGAAAAAAAGGTGGAAGTGAGTACCAGAGTCACTGCTGCGCTCACTGTCAGATGATGATTCACTTTCACTGGAGGACTCTGAACTGCTGCTGCTGCTGCTGTCGCTACTGTCATCCTCTGAACCGGACGAATCAGATTCTGAAGATGAAGACGAATCTGAGGACTCCACATCTTGCTTCTGCGTCATGATAATTTTTGGTGCATTCTTCAGATGTTCACGTAGCTCATCGCTAGTTAAAACACATTTAGCACGTTGTAATTTAATTGGCTGGTGCAAAGGCAAAGCGTTACTTCTCTCAGCTGTGTGTCCCAAATGTGAACTCGTTTGTTTGTTTTTGCTTCACAAAACTGACCCAAGTACCACTGAGCCAGTCGCTATCAGCAAAGCCCCACCCTCTGTTTTCTGCTCTGTGAAGCCCCATCCCACTATCTGTTTCTTTTTGAGATGACGAAATATGGTACCTGGGTGTGGACTGGATTATATGATACCTGCCGCTGATTTGTCCTGCAGACATGGCGTACGATGTGGTCTGCAGACATGGACTGAGAACTCTCCCCCCTTCCCCCAATCCAATACTCCTACATGCCCACGTGTGTTTGAAAAGGACCTGGGCAGGTAGTACCGGTTACACTGGCGATTTCCACACTCTGGGGGATTCCCTATGATATCAATCGCACAATCTGGGTTACACACATTGGATTCTACACATGCAGGCCGTAGCTGAACAATGGGCCTCTGTGCAGACATCAAAGGCAGGGAAGGCAGAGAAGAAGTTTGTTATCTACCTAGCATGTATATGGGCCAGTTCGTAGAAGTGTTAACATCTTGCTGTTAACCCTGACTGCTTTTATTGTGTAACAAAACGGATTTCCTTACGTCAGTCCTCCAAGACCAATCGAAGTGAAGAAATTGATGGCGAATCTAGTATTTCTTGGGTTATCCCGAGGTAGCAAACCTTCAAAGAATGGCTGCAGAGTTCTGTTAAAGATGAAACATGGCAACAATACTTTAAAATACTAAAAATATACATTCAATTTTGATCCAGAGGCGATTTAGAAATGTCATTAAAAAAATATATTCTGAGCTACTTTAATTCTGAAAGAAGCAAAAACAGGATGGTTCTATTTATGCAGCAGTACACATACAGATAGAATCTATGGCCCTTTTAAAATGTAAACATATATTAAACTGCCAGAGATTTAAGGCAACTAGGTCCCTAGACAACTAACTGTCTCTCATATCAAACTTAAAACAATTAGGGATAATAAAAGTTAATTTTGTAAGTCCAAAAATAATGGGCCTGGATCAATATATTTCTCTTTACTACAATAAGTAATGTCAAGCTAGCCAATAGATCAGCTCTGTCCAAAAGAAACAGGTGTTTTGTGATTAAACATTTCAAAATCAATAATGCACAGCAAGGCTATCTCCAATTTACCATGTACCTAAACAAGTCTTAAAAGCTCTGACAGTTGCTCTAATTTGAGAATTGCTATAAAGATATATATATATATATATATATTTACTGTCAAATGCTTGGGCTCGGGGAAGTTGCCCATGTTTTCCCCCAAAGCATTGAGCGCTGAAACAAAACAGGCATTTAAACATTCTGAAATTAAGAATGATATTCATCTACCAGTCTTAAGACAGTACTGGTCAATAATGCAAGAATTGTTAGTATCTACCCATTTTGCTCAATCAAAACTCCTCTGCATTTTTCAACTGTCCAAATTTCTACACTAACATATGTTGGCTCTTCATATTATTTTGCATCTCATTCTTTGGGGCCAACACAGCAACAAGACGGTTAGATTCATCATAATTTACAACCTTTTAAAAAGATGCTTGCATAAAAAAAGAATTTTGCCAGGAATTTAATGAAAGGTTTGGAACATGTGTTACCATGAACGTATGAAGTGAAGGGTGCAGATGGGAAAAAAATAAAAACAAGAAGCCAACTAAGAGTAGATGGTCTGGCAGTGGGAGGAAAAAAAATGAGGTAGATGAAGTGATGGCTATTGTGCTTCTCCAGAATGTTGATGTGTTGATGTGCTGTTTTTTGACACAAGATCAGTGGTAAATGCCAGGCATTTGTGAGTTAATTAAAGATGAGGCTAGTCTAGTAATTACGGTCTGGTCATAAATATGGGTGAGCCAGAATATAGATTCCACTGAAATAATGATGGCTTGGAAGATGTGTGGTTCTCTCTTGGGGTAGTATTTGGAATCTGGGTTCCATCTGGTTTGGGGAGGCTGTTAGGAAATTTTTAGCATGTATTAGGTTTTTCACCTGTCTTATTTTTAAGGGGGTGTTTTCCATATTTCACTCTACTTCTCTATGTCTGTCTTATGTCATACTAAAGAATATTACACCCTGCCCATTTTCTGATGAACGCAAGTATATTATGAGTCTCAAAAACAAAGCCAGCCACGGACCTCCTTCTTTTGAAAACTTTGATAACTCTATGGTAGTTACCTCTGCAAAGCAATCTTTTGAACAAAATGTGGGGTAGCCCCTAATAAGCAAAGGATTTTAGGTACAGGGGTACCTCTGGATGCGAACGGGATCCGTTCTGGAGCCCCATTCGCATCCTGAAGCAAACACAATCTGCGTCTGCCACGATTTGCCACTTCCACGCATGCGTGATGTCATTTTGAGTGTCTGCGCATACGTGAGCAACGAAACCTGGAAGTAATGTGCTCCGTTACTCTGGGTCGCCGCAGAGCGTAACCTGAAAACGCTCAACCTGAAGCGACTTTAACCAGAGGTATGACTGTATACTAAAAAGCACAGAAGACCATAAATTTGTGATCTCAACATGCAAAGATTTAGTTTGGGGGGGAGGGAGGCAAGGGATGGGACCACAGACCCCCTGGGTGCATTCTGCGGACCCCCCAGACCCCTAATTGGGAACCACTGCTTTAGGGCTTTACAAATAAATTTGAGACCCTTAAGCAGGCATGGTGGTGAAAGGGCTGCCCGTGCAAGCTGTTAAACACCAGTGTTATGTGGTGGCAGCAGCCTGACCTTTGTCAACACTACAGCCACAGCATTTTGTGCCAACCAGAGCTTCCCAATCAGTCCCAAGGGTAGCCCCACCTAGAGTGCTTTGCAGGAATCAAGTCTTCAGGTCACCAATGCATCCATCGGCTCCAAAGGATTACAGTGAACAGGGCTTGCTCACATCAAGACACCGTAAAACTAGCTTGCAGTGTGAAGCTTCTACTTACTCATCTTTCAATCTTGCATTAAGATTAGGAAGTCCCATGTATTCACTGAGTCCCTGGAAGAAGATTTTAACAAAAATCCTACTGGAGGACGTTGTAGTTTCTTCGCTTAGCGTTATGCATTCAAGAACCTACAAGTCAAAGTAATAGTGGGTTAATGCTAAACATCCTCTCCCCCACTTTAAAACAATCTAGTTTATTATTTGTTCCCCAAATAGTAAGTTCTAGACTTGGCACCAGCTGACAGAGACAACTTTGGCCTATTCTTCCCTCCACTTGTGACCTCACAGTACCAGCCTCTACATGGTTCTGGAATGCTGGGAGACAGTGAGGGAAGAGGCAGGGGGAGTTGGGAAACTTCCTAGTGGGATTCCTCCAGATTAAAAGCCTTATCTGGACAAGAGGCATCTTTCTAACTAGAGACGGCAATGCCTGGATCCGGCACACATGCGTGGTCTTTCTTTTAAACAACAAATTCATACAAACTTCAGATGACTTCGCAGCTGCCATCACATAGCTTTGACACTTTCCGTTCATTTAACATCCGGTCTCAATTCCAAACAGTTTATCTGAACTTGTTCCTGAAATGAGGCTTCAAAGCTCCCACCTGTCAGTGCCAAAACAAACCTGGCGCTCAGCTCAGGGTATGACTTCTGGCAGATCCCACCTACATTTTTAAGTGTTGCAAGACAGATCAATTTTGCCTTTTCAGAAAGCATTTTCTACTCACACTCCACGGAAGCGAATCTGTATATAAAAGATGCGCAAACATCTTGGCAACGTTCCTCAACTTGTTTGTTTCCAGCCGGTGTATTGTGTCATACTGCTCTTTGAAAATGGCTTCAAATGCTTCCATGTATTCTTTTTTCAACATACAGAAGCGCTGAAAATGCAGGACACAGTTAAGAAGGGGAAAGAAAGAGTTTAGAAACTGAATATAGAAGTATGGCGGACCAAAACAGGAAAACAATGAAGAGACTGTATAAATCTTAATTTTCAAATATTGGCTTGGGTCCTAAAGCTCCTTGGGGGCAAAGCAAAGACACTTCTGCCCCATGTTTGGGGTGGGGCTTTGCAAGGTTATGGGGAACACGAATGAATGGGAAAGTCAGTAAATTGCAGGTGGGCAGCAGTGCCTTCCTTTCAAGCAGCAAGTGGGGAGCCTCAGGCCTAAGACCTAATGCACTGCTGTCCTCCATGCTTCTCTGTTCAGAGAAAACACTTCAAACTCCTATAGAAACAGTGCTGAAAAAAATGGCTTGGATCCTAATTTCCTTTCCATGGACGGCATAGAATTCCACACTAGTTGAAGATGAGCCTCTTATAGTTTTGTAGGTAAAGGTAAAGGGACCCCTGACCATTAGGTCCAGTTGTGGCCAACTCTGGGGTTGCGGTGCTCATCTCGCTTTATTGGCCGAGGGAGCCGGCGTACAGCTTCTGGGTCATGTGGTCAGCATGACTAAGCCGCTTCTGGCGAACCAGAGCAGCGCACGAAAATGCCGTTTACCTTCCCACTGGAGCGGTACCTATTTATCTACTTACACTTTGACGTGCTTTCGAACTGCTAGGTTGGCAGGAGCAGGGACCCAGCAACGGGAGCTCACCCCATCATGGGGATTTGAACCGCTGACCTTCTGATCGGCAAGTCCTAGGCTCTGTGGTTTAACTCACAGCGCCACCTGCGTCCCTTTTATAGTTTTGTAGACTCCCCCAAATAAAAATCAGGTTTTGAGTTTTGAAGTGCTTTAAAGCTCACGGTTGCTAAGGGAAGGCAATGGAGAAAACCTTAACGGTAATCTAGCTCAGGGCGGTCTCTAGGTCTTTTTTTGCGGCCCTCGGCAACACTGGACACCTGCCCCAGCCCTCCCAACCCCTTCCCAAAGCCTAGTTAGCACTTTCCCAGCTTTGGAAAGGCAGTGGAAGGATCCTAACCCTAACCCTGCCAAAAGCCAGTGCCTTGCTTAGTTGACTTTGGGAACGCAGCCTAAGGGGTGGGGCATCAAATTTTGGGCTCCCTCCCTTCTCCCAGCACAACAAAGCAGTGTGTGGCCCATGGGTTCTGTGTTGAAGTGCTCTTGCCGCCACTTGGTAGGAAAAGTTGGGCTGCCCTGATCTAGTTCAGCTCCCTGGAAGCCAATGTCAGCTAGCTGGCCCGACTCGGAAACAAAAAGGAAAAAATACAACACTTCTTGGCTAGCTTTTACATCATGTGATTTCCCAACTAATCCTGAAAGGAAATGTGTCCCTTGAATATCTGGTGTAACAAAACACTTCTGCTTAACTAACCTCGTCCTGCTAGATTTCAATAAAAGGTTGCACATGAATGGTGCCAATCTACAGTCTGTTCTATGGGATGAACATGCTTATTTAAGGACTGAGCCGCACACTCTTGATTCAGTGCTTGATGCGTGAGCCAACGCTAGCCTGAGCCAAGGTGAAATTCAGCGGTATCCATGTTCTTCTGCCTGTGATATTTTATCTACGACGGCTCAACCTTGCATTCCGCAAACGCCGAAACTGCATTTGTAAACCAGCCCTTTTTGCAGGGGACGTTTGTGCATTATGTGTGCCATCTACGGAACAAGCAACTCACCCCAGCCAGTAAACCAAAGAATTTCTCGTATGTTCTCTGCTGAGCGCAACAGTCAAGGATCATGTTGCACAATTCTTTCTGTTGGGAGAAGGAGGAAAAACTCATGTATCAACTGAAATTAATTACAGTACTTTTCTTTTCTTTTTTAAAAAATAATATTGCAGCAACACATACTGAAAATAGGAAGCCAGAGATTTATTTGCACACCTAATGAAAGTGTGAAATACATTAGAAACACATTAGAAATAAATTATAGGTTAAATGACAACGCTGCGGGATTCAATAATAGCAATTCTACATATATCAACCTACTTACTTTCAGAACAGGAAATCACTCTTAAAAGGGATTTTTTAAAATAATATAATCTTCCACTAGTAAAGGATTACGACCTAGCCTTTTAATTCTTTTTGCTACAATATGGCGTACTGAAACATTTCTCTTCAACACACTGTGTTGACAGAACACAAGCCGGTTTTACAGTTACTCTATATTAAACAATACCAAAACCAAAAATATATTCAGAAAGAGGCCGTTACTTTGTGGTGGTGGTGGAGAGGGCAAACTAATCCGTCTCTTAAAAGCTTTCTTTTCTAATATATGCCATTAGTTTAATATATCAGGGCGCATATTAACTTTCTTACATTGTTTTATTGTAGTAATGTTGCAGTCAATCAGTTTCCATACAATAAAACAGGGCAAAGTGCTGATGCTGTTACTGGCGGAGTCAGCATGACTTGCAGAACAAATTACTTTCTGCTCCCTTAACTGCAGTTACAACATTTTAATATCCCCTGTGGGTTAAAGTAATTAAATATTTTAACATTTTAATTAAATATTACAATGATTCCTAGCAGATATCTTGAGTAGCCACGTGCAGGAAAACAAATTTGCCTATAAAGACACTCCTGCTTCCACCTTCCAAAAGGACGAGAGGCTGGGACCAAAGTGCCCGTCTTCAAGATTAAACGTTAGCATGTTTTTAATTATTGTATATGATGGAAGGCAGGGATTCAGTGGCAGCTTCAAAGCTGAATAGCCATTTAGGTTTTTAAACCTTTTTGTAAAAGCAGCACTAGAATTTTCACAGCTGAGTCCTCAACCCTTTATTACTGTGCTTTGCTTTCTTCAAGTCGGGCTTTGTTTAAAACTTGCCATTTAGGTTTTCAAACCATTTTTGTAAATTCAGTGTTAGTAACTGTACTTTTGAGTCCTCTATCCTTTATTGCTGCGCTTTGCTTTACCTAGGTCGAGCTAGGATTATAATACTTCAGAATTTTGGGGGGGTTCTACCCTTTTTTGAATTTTAGTCATTTAAAGTTCATGATTTTTCTATTTCCTTCTGAGGAAACTGAATAGTTCTGTGAAACGAGCCTTATGGTGAAGATACCCAAAGCTGCCTATAAAAAAATTCGGGGTTCTCTCCTGCTGTTTCTAATATTAATAACTGACTAGTAATCTATTAATTAAAATGGATCTACTCTTGAGTATAACTTACCCAGCTATATCCCCCCCCCAAATAAAAAAAATTAGAATCACAGAGACCCTCCAAAGGTCATCTAGTTCAACTCCCTGCAATGCAGAAATCTCAACTAAAGCATCCATGACAGATGGCCATCCAGCCTCTGGTTAAAGGATGAGCACTGTGTTTATCCCAGCTGGACAACTAGAAAAAGAACTATCAACAAAAGAGCAGTCTTGTGGCACCTTAAAACATAACAGGTTAATTATAAGTAATATAAATGTATTGATTTCTTTAGGTGCAACAAGATTCTTTCATCGTTGCCATTTTTTCTGCAGAAGATCAACACATCTCAAGGCAGCTGACGCAGAAACAGGTAACGAAGTTGCAAATTCCGAAGAGCGAGGGCAGAAGATGCAGAGGGTTTTACGACTGCAGATCTTCCGCCATTTCTAAATTCTCCCTCTCAAGTTTTAATCCAAAGTCACCACCACCTGCTTCTATTTACCCCGAAGGCTTTTTACCACCAGATCGCTTCTCTCTCTCTCTAGGCATCAAGGATGTTCCTCAGATGAAAGCAGACAAAATTGTCAAAGGCAATCTTCTAACAGCATCTGGCTCCTTGGCAAAGTTTGCAGGCAACCGTGTTGGCTCTCTCTCATCTGCTTAGTTCTGCTGACCATTTTCTTACAGTATATATATATTTTTTTACTTAAAAGCGACCTGATTCTCCATTTGAGACTAAGTGGTGCAAAACAGAACCATGCTGCCATCCCCTTTCCTGCACTTGCTAATCAGACTTAACATTTTTAGCAATTCACTGAGAAGGAACTATTTTTAATCTATTGAATTTGTAGGGTCAGCAGTGACGAGACGCAGTTGCGTAAGAGTATTTTATGTAAAAAAGCAAAATGTATAAAATTAAAGCTTAGGCAGAATCATCGTGGCACAATCTTATATCACAGTATGCCTAGTCACGTATATTTGCAAAACAAAAAGCTGGAATGATTTAAGTTGGATTGATCAGACTTGACTCTAGATTAAAAGACCTGTTTTCTCTGTGCTGCTATGGCCTGGGGCTACCAGGATAACTCTAATGGACAGATGGCCCTTTCAATTGTGGAAGAGTGATCACAGTCCCTCATCTTTAAAATAAACTCCATTTTTAATATTAATGTTGTATTGAATAGTTTACGTTCTATCAGTACAGCGGGGGGGGGGGGGGAATGGAAGCTAAAATAAAACCGGAATTGGGGCAGAGTGCAACTGTTAGGGGGAGACATTCATAGGTTTTGTTCATTTACAAGGTTATGAAATAGAGTTCAGTGTAGGCTTGCCACGTAGTTTGGCAAGTATTTAATTTCTCTGTAGCTAGTTCACATAAGGCAAACTCCCATACATGACTCCTAGTCTCCTCCACCACTTTCCAAGATGTTTGAAGCCACTACAAGGAAGTGCCTAACATGTCCCTGATCAACTAGAAGCACGTTGCTCTTTCAATGGCAGAAAGTTCTACTGCAAAAGAGAGTAATGGTTATGCCGTCAGAAATGAACTTAGAAGGCTGCTTACAAAAATAAGTGGGAAGACATGGGGATAGAAAAGGGTACAGATTTTGCAGTGTGCAGTCCTAAAATCCAGCCTGATTTGGACATGGCATAGTCTTGGTTTAATGCTATGTAAATGAGCAGGCATGAGACTTGAACTTGTGTGGTCCCTCTCCCTCTCCCATCTAGCGAAGCCGTAAAGAGAATGGAAGCATCCACGTTCCGTTTTCCACCAACAGTGGTTTATCGCTGCAGCCCAAATGGGCAAACTGCGGATAATTTAAAGTAACAATTTACTAACAAGTCATGATGATAAGAAACGGCATATTCCTGCTTTGTTCTAAGAGATCGTGGTTTATTATACTTCAGGTGTGCAACAATGATGTTGTTGTTTAGTTGTGTCCGACTCTTTGTGACCCCATGGACCAGAGCACGCCAGGCACTCTTGTCTTCCACTGCCTCCCACAGTTTGGTCAAACTCATGTTTGTAGCTTCGAGAACACTATCCAACCATCTCGTCCTCTGTCGTCCGCTTCTCCTTGTGCCCTCAATCTTTCCCAACATCAGGGTCTTTTCCAGGTTGTCTTCTCTTCTCATGAGGTGGCCAAAGTACTGGAGCCTCAGCTTCAGGATCTGTCCTTCCAGTGAGCACTCGGGGCTGATTTCCTTCAGAATGGATAGGTTTGATCTTCTTGCAGTCCATGGGGCTCTCAAGAGTCTCCTCCAGCACCATAATTCAAAAGCATCAATTCTTTGGCGATAAGCCTTCTTTATGGTCCAGCTTTCACTTCCATACATCACTACTGGGGAAACCATAGCTTTAACTATACGGACCTTTCTTGGCAAGGTGATGTCTCTGCTTCTTAAACAATAAACTGCAGTTAATAAGGAAAATGGAAACTATGTGCTTCCAGTGCGTTCCTCAAGGCTGGTACCAGATGATAGGCGAGTTTCAGCCTGAGGTTTTGCTCTCATGTGGCAGAACTATGAAATGGGCTACTTGTTCATAAAGGGGGGAAAGGCCAAGGAAGAACCGGGCACCTCTCTTCTCCCATGATGAATGTGGAGAAGGTCTGTCAAGCGCCATGAAATCTCCAGGCTTCCTACAGGCATCGGGTTGGCCATTGTGAGAACAGGAAGCTAGACTAGATGGGCCACAGGCTCAATTTATGTTCCGGTATATGTTTGCATCCCCTGACCCACCAGGAGGGCACAAAGAAAGTATGCACATGTTCCAGAGGGGGAACTTTCACAACTCCGGTTTTCTTCCCTTTCTCTCTTTCCTCCATGTTGTTGTTGTTTAGTTGTTTAGTCATGTCCGACTCTTCGTGACCTCATGGACCAGAGCACGCCAGGCACTCCTGTCTTTGCCCATGGAGTTTTCTTGGCAGGGATACTGGAGTGGCTTGCCAGTTCCTGCTCCAGGTGGATCACGTTTGGTCAAAACTCTCCACTATGACCTGTCCATCTTGGGTGGCCCTGCACAGCATAGCTCATAGCTTCTCTGAATTATTTAAGCCCCTTCGCCACAGCAAGGCAGTGATCCATGAAGGTGAAAACCTCCATAGGACCATTTAATACTTGTTTCAGCAAAACAACACACACAGTTCAACTTTGTCGGACTATTTTCTTTTGCACTCAGAACTGCTCAGCTGCAGTGTTTCTCGTTCAACGGCAAAACTGCATTTCAGCACAGAAAACATTTTAAAGCACAGAACCTTATTTATTCCATTCTGAGGGGATGTTAGGAGTATGAAGGAAAACCAACAATGTTAGCGACCAAAATTTGCTTTACATTCGTACCTTGGTTCTCAAATGGAATCCGTTCTGGAAGTCCGTTCGGCTTTCGAAAACCAAGGCACAGCTTCAGTTTGGCTGCAGGAGCCATGGAAGCCGCCTCGGACGTTCAGCTTCAAAAAACAGTTTGCAAACCGGAACAGTCCCTTCTGGGTTTGCGGCATTCGGGAGCCAAAACATTCGAGAACTAAGCTGTTCGAAAACCAAGGTATGACTGTACTATAAATACTAGAATCATCACCATCATCCTCTGGAAGAAACAGCTTTACAATGGTACCTCGGGTTACATACGCTTCAGGTTACAGACTCCGCTTACCCAGAAATATTACCTTGGGTTAAGAACTTTACCTCAGGATGAGAACAGAAATCACACGGTGGCAGTGGGAGGCCCCATTAGCTAAAGTGGTGCTTCAGGTTAAGAACAGTTTCAGGTTAAGAACGGCCCTCCAGAACGAATTAAGTATGTAACCAGAGGTACCACTTTAATTGCATTTTAGCTGATCTGCTATGCATTATCCAGTATACTATACGATTAGTTACATCAATATCTGAATGAGGGGGGTGGGGAAAGATGCTTATTCCAGAAATGGGAAAGAAAAGAAAAAAGGAATTAGGAAGACTTACTGTCTGGCTTTCAGGAAAATCCATCTTCAGCAATTTATGAGCACATTCTTCAAAGTCTAAACTGTAAAAGGGAGGGGGGAATTTGTCTCCAGAACCACAGCAGCTTAAAACATTTCTATGCTGACAACAGTATTTTCTGCATTAGAAAGCCTAAAAGTTGTGTGCCTGAAACAGACTTTGTTGAAATACCCAAGCAATACTGGGTTCAGCTAGTCTTCCAGGCTTAGAATTAAATCGGCTGTGCTTCAGTGTTTTTGGGTGTGAGAATCCTTATGAGTATAAGAACTTCCAAAATCAATTTCACTCATCAGACATAATCCCAACAATCATCACTGCTCCATGGACTTTAGATCTGCTGGATGCTAACATGTGCACAGTTGCAAGAAGTTCATTAAAAAGAAAACTGTATTGATCAGTACTGTTACAGATGGCAACTGAAAGTCCACCACAACATAAAAAAATTAAAATCTGTTATTTTATTTTAAAAATTATAAAGAATGCAGCAGACTTTTAATCTTTTTCAGTGTTAAAAAATATGTATTTTAGCCATTTAACATTTTTATATGAACTATGTCCAAAATCAATAATTTTCAGACAGTTTAAAAACAAGGTGACTCCCATTCGTGAGTCACGGTTGCTATAACATCATGTTAAACAGAAAGCAGAAAGTCTAGCAATTAAGCAAATGAGAACATGATGTCCTTCTTTGAAAAATCTTAAAATGTTGTTTCAGAATGTCCTCCCACAGAAAGCATTAATATTTGATATTTGATGAAAGGGGGACACTATAAACAACCCGTCAATTAACAATGTTTCCTTACACTAAGCAAACCTCTTCAGTGTTCCTTCTCTCCCTCTTACACACAGACAGAAAGACAGACATAACACTAAATCATCGTTTAGTAAGAGTAAGAGGAGCCTGAAAGGGCTTGAGCAAAGCACCCCATTTATATTTTTCTCTCCACACCTTCACCCCCAAATCCCATGGGATTCGAAAGAGAACTTTGCCAGAGTAAGTTTCATTTTTAAAGGAATCCTGAGCATTAAGTTCAAACTAGGGAGGCCTGGTTCGAAACAAACTCTGGCTACTTTAAAAAGCCAGCTTCAGAACCCAAGATCTGAAATTGGATAATGACTAGTGCTAGTTCTAAAGCAGGGTTTGACTGCAAGCCAAGTCACACTTCTTTAAAAAGGGAAACTAAACTCTGACAAGGTTCTCTTCTCAGCTGGGTGGGAGAAGGAGATGTTTAAACAGGCTTGTTTGGGGTCATCAGCATAGCGCTAAACCATGTTTCTGCTTTATGTGTGAACAAAGCCATGCCATTTAAACCAGACCATCTCAGTTTTCACCTAGAGATTCATTATAGTAGCTTATAGAGCAATGAAAAATACGTTATTCTAAAGATTTAGCTCTAAGAATTCTGCCTCACATGAGCATCTATAACAGGGTGGTCTAATATGTGGCCCAAGGGCTTTGACAGGGTTCTAGAGTCCTCCCTCTCCCAAAGCCTAGTTAGCTCTTTCCCAGCCTTGGGAAGGAGGTGGGAGAGCACTAGAGCTCTGCCAGAGCCTTGTGTCTCCTTCACAAATCCCAGTGCCTCACTTACAGAGCTTTGGGAAGGCAGTGCAAAGGCTGGGAGGGGGCCTGCCAAATTTTGGCCTCGCCCCATTCCTGGACGGGACAAAGCCACATGCAGCCCATGGGTTTCATTTCAAAGGACTCTTGCGGCCCCCTTGGTATGAAAAGTTGGGCCACTCTGATCTAAAACTTGCTAGCTTCCCAAAAGTATTTGCAATCATTGTGCAAGGGAGCCACATTTCAAACAAAAATTACGTTTCATTTTACCTTGACTGAATTGCTAGGTAAATGGTTCGTCGGAAGGAGACCAAGTTGATTTCCGTTTTATCATGGATAGTCACTTTTTGCCCTTGAAGATTCAGAGCAGGGGAGAGAGAGAGAGAGAGAGAGACATAGGTTTCATGGTTAAAAAAAATCAGGAATGGTTGATTACTTCAAAGACTGCTAATATACTATTGAATATACAAATGCAAATGAACTATTTGTGAAGGAATAAACGGCAGTATTTATTTAATTTCAAGTTAAAAGAAAGCATTGAAATTCCAGCACAATAGGCAACCTGACTTAGTGTCCCCTCACAGTCACAGCTGGGCAATGTACTGATACGCCATCCAAAATCGGTTTGAAGTCCACATTGTGATAACTGTTTTGTAATATTTGACATGGCAATATGTCATGAATCACGATGTGTGTGCGTGCTATGTAAAAAAATTGCAAGATGGGAAAAACTGTGAAGCCAGTCATCGCTTCTCTCATGATTCCTTCTGCCCCTGTTGCTCTGTACCGTGAAGTAAGAGTTATCAGTTTTAGAACCCCCTAAGCAGTAGCAGTTGCCAGAACATTATCCCGTTCGCCTCTATGTAGTTACATCCTTATTTCAGACATCGTGATATATCATCAGTATATTACAATGTTTAGCTGATGATGTTGAAAACCAGGTATCACTCAGCCATGCTCACAGCACAACAAAGGCATATCAAACCTATCAGTGTCCTCGTGCATAGGAACCAAACTAATACTGCTTAATGAGCCTTGCCTCATTAATTTCAAAAAGGAGCTGTGATTTAGGAATGTAAATCTGGTTTCATATTGAGATTAATGGTTAAAACCCTTGACAGTTTGGGAGGACTGGGGAGAGAGAAAGAGAGAGAGAGAGAGAGAGAGAGAGAGAGAGAGAGAGAGAATTCTCCTGTACTGGTAATAATTCCATGGTTTAGGCCTACAAACAGAGCTGTATATCTGGCTGGTCATGCAGGAACCAAGACCTAAACTAGCTGCTCTGAAATGAATTAATGTCCTACTGTTTATGGAGGTGGATTTCAGATTTTCCATACGAGCAATGCAAGTAATGGCAGGGTGCTGTAATTACCATCTTTTCATTTGAAAGCAAAAGTTTATTTTCCTTTCCCAACAGTCCTACTGAAGAGACAGCGCACTCAGGAAGAGTCTGAAAATGCTAAAGACCTGTCTCAAAGTTTGTTTGTAAACGCAATCCAGCTCTCTCTGCTTGCAACAACTTCAGTTTATCAGCTTGTTGGCTAACATGCTATATGCTGCTTCTCACATTTCCAGAGTAACAAAGACTGAGAATATTCTTACAAAGCATTTAAGGAAACCAGGAAAAGACTCAGAGGAATCCCAAGGAGGCATGAAATACATTCATGCTTGGGAGGAAAGGAAAAAGACTGACACACACACATACGAAAATAAAAACACCTTTCAGAAATAGTGTTAAGAATTATACAAAGAATTAACCAGCACCAGGAAACGGGAGGGGGGACAGGAAACCCTGCTACAATTCAAGACAAAAAACCCCACAAAATGTGTATAATTTCATTTGACAACACAGACAAGTGGTAAAAAACAAAAAACCCAACCACTGATATTTGAAGGACGTCAAAGGCTGGAACAAAAACCCACACAGGTAGCTCTGAATACCCAGGGAAGCATTGGGTTTGGGCTTATTCAAACACCAGTGCCTCACATCAAATAGCAAACCACTTTTGAAGATGAGAGGACTTTCAAAATGCAGATTGTGACATGGAACAGGAATCTGTTGGCTAAGTTAAAAAAAAAATACCTCCCACTGGACTTTCTAGGTCCAAATTTAAGCAAACAACAACTGGATTGAAAGACTTCACGAAGATAAAATATTGGAAATGTCCTGATTAAATAATAACAGTAATAATAATTTTATTATTTATAGCCCACTCATCTGGCTGGGTTGCCATCTAGAAGAGTAAGGGCAACTAAATAATGTACTATGAATACAGTCCCCTAAATTCAGCCTTGCTATTGCTACCAACCCAAAATGCAAATGGTGTCTGGCAGAGACTATGGGACATGCACTATTTGTATAATGGCTAAAGAAGTTGCACTGGAGTAAATAGAAGCAACATTTTAATACTAACTAAAATCAGTTTACTGTTTTGTCACGCTAACTTCCACAGTAGCGAGGAGTGCATAAAACTGTTTCTTTAAATTGCAGCTTTACCTTCTTCGTCCTCCTCCTCCTTATCATCATCCTCTTCCTCCTCCTCTTCACTGCTTGCAGCATCCTGACCACTTTCTGAGTCACTGTCACCTTCGTCAAGAATTTCTACAAAAGAGAAAAAACACGTTTAAGTGAACACCAATACCAGGCTGGGTTGGTTAGAGGGGCTAGCCTGTATCAGAAACTCGTGTATATGGAAGAAGATGCTTCAACATCAAAACAGGAAACATTGCAGTCTTGCTCAGTTGCCTGCGAGTAAGTCCCACTGAACTCAATGGAGCCTACAACTGAGCAGACATGCACAGGATTGCATAGCAGGTTTCCCAGAAAACCACAGGAATTAGAATTTTAGATACAAAAGACTGGAGTGCTAGGACATGATAATAAGGGTTCGCTGAGGGGTGTGGGAAGCAGCAACTCCCCACTTGTGGGTGACCGCACATGTAGGAACCCGGAGGCAGGGAAGAGAGCTGCAAAGTCCTTGTGGCTTGTGAGGAGACTCGCCAGAGCTCAAAGAGGACATCCTCCTTGGGCTCCGGGGAGGGTTTACTCGCGAGCCATAGGCTTTGTTGAGGCTGCTTGGCCTCCCCGCCTAACAGCTGACAGCTCTCCATCCCTGCATTAGAACAGCTGTGCAAACTCAAATTAGCTAGTTACAGATAGGTAGCCGTGTTGGTCTGCCATAGTCAAAACAAAAAAAAATTCCTTCCAGTAGCACCTTAAAGACCAACTAAGTTAGTTCTTGGTATGAGCTTTCGTGTGCATGCACACTTCTTCAGATACACTGTGTATCTGAAGAAGTGTGCATGCACACGAAAGCTCATACCAAGAACTAACTTAGTTGGTCTTTAAGGTGCTACTGGAAGGATTTTTTTTTGTCAAATTAGCTAGGCATACATACCTTTCTTCAGAGTTTGGTACTTCTCTTCATTCTCCATAAAATCTGGATCCATCTTGAACACATCTTCACAGAAACAGAAAAACAAGTTACCAAAATTATAGCAGAGCCATTTAAAAAAAAACAACAACAACAACAAAAAATTCAGACTGAAAAGTTCGTTCCAACATTCCTTATTCATACTTACTAAGAACATCTTCTGGATTATAGTCATCTTCCAAAGGCAGCATATGGGTAAACTGATCCTCTTCTTCCACAAGATCCAGTCCATCTGGAATTATCGGGTGATCTTTGAACCCGTCTTTACGCACAGCAAACATGACTTCAATCATGTACTGAACGCGCTTGTCGGTTTCAGATTCATGCAGGACATGACGAAGGCGGTCAAAGATAGCTGGGGGGGGGGGAGAGAAAAAACGGAGGTGAATCTAATTCCTACAAAACTAATGGTCATGAAGGAAATAAAGCAGCAATAAATACATACCGTTAACACCCCTAGGAGACACTTCAGTCAATTTGAGGCCACATTCCTTTAGGAAGCCGATTGCTACTTCAATGCTGTCATCTGTCGGTCTCTCCAAAAGCAATGTGAGCATTTCCAAGCATAAAACCTCGTGAGCCTTAGCAGGAAGAAGATAACAACACAAATACCTTTTTTGTTTTAAGAAAATAATTTCCTTGACTGCATGTATCTGACATATGTACTCAACAAAACAAGCGCAGCACCATTTCAGAGAAAGGCACTACAAGTTCAGCGTCCCAAAAGGAGCTTTGGATGTGCTTCTTAAAGGTCAGCCCTCCAGTTTAGGCTACAAAACTTACTGCTCAAAGTCAATCCCCACTTGGTATATGGGTGTCAGGGAACTGACATCGGAGCGAGAGGCGAAGGGGAGGCCCCCAGATGATGCTGGCGAAGGACCCAGCAGAAGGGGGAGAAGCAGCTCAGGAGAGGGGGAAGGAAATCAGCGCAACACCAGGGATGAAGGGGAGCAGATGGGGGAAGCGGAGAGAGGGCTCCAGGACTCTTCACTGGACATCAGTGAGGAGAGCACAGGTCCCCCGCTACCCACGCCCTCCCTGCGCAGAAGACTCCCGCGCAGTGAGAGGAGGAGGAGACTGGGAGTCAAACAGCTTTTATGTTGGAAGAGGTTTAAGAAACGCCCACTGACGGATTCTGCTAGCAACTGAGGCAGCCACGTTGAGATGGGCTGTGCAGTCCGAACGGTTTAACAAGGCAATTTAGCCTAGAGAGGCGGCAGTTTATGCACGAGTAACTCATACCCATTACAATGGGTGTGCCTGAAATAGTTCTCTATATAAGCCTTGTCCAACCTGGTGCCCCATCATCATCATTATAGTATTATTATTATTATTATTATTATTATTATTATTATTCTGCATATAATTATTAAAACTTATTGGTCACTTGTTTTTTACAAAAGTAACTCAAAACGATGTACAACAATAATTAAATAACATGTACATTAGAAACAACATAAAACCAAACAGAGAAAAACCCAAAATTTCTAGGTGTTGTTGGGAATATGACCGTCATCATTCACCAAGATGATGGTGGATCAACCACTCAGAAGCCATCTTAGCAATTGGGTGGCATATAAATTAACGAATAACATAATATAGGCACCCCCCCATGTTTATGTGGGGGTTATGTTCTGAGGCACGTGTGTGTCGGTGAAATAACATATAATTGAAAAGCCAGTTAAAAAGTCTGCAAACACCCCGTTCTGCCCTTTCAGTGACATCATGTTGTTTCCGGGTCACTTCTGGGTTTGGTGCAATACGCAGTCACTCACATATTGAACATGCATAAGCGGCCTGTAATCCCTGACCACTAGTTATGCTGGCCACGGCTGATGTGAGCTGGGAAAGTCTGCCCTAGAGCAAAGGTTTGCAAGTAATATTTAGCAAGAGCCATAGTACAATGAATTGGGGGTTGTTAATTTTTTATATTTTGCTTTTGTAGTTCTATTTTCTATTTAAAGTGCTTTCTTATTCATTTACTGAAAGCTGCCCAGATAGCCTCACGCTATGGGGGAGGAATGCAAATGCCATAAACATATTTGATGACAAAATCCCATCAGAAACCCTTGCAATGTTAAAAGCCAAAATCCCTGCAAATATATTATCAGTAGTACAGAGCATCTTACCACATTCTGATTCATAAGATGTGCCACAAACTTGGAAGCTGTCAGGCAAAGTTGCTGCAAAACAAAATGAAAAGCTACGTATTTCTGCAAGTGATAAGTCCATTTCATAGGTATTACTGCAAGTGATATGTCTATTAGCATAGCTTTGAATCCCAAACTGCCCCAGAGGTTCTATGTGACTTGCACAAATCATTTAAAGGGCTTCCTCTTGCTGGCATTATTCTTATTACTATTATTTTGGGCAGGTGAGAAAGGAGATGTGCCAGCAGCCCCTCTTCTTCCTCAGGAAGGCTACAACTTTCGCCAGAAACATGCATCTGATGGCTATTTGTCTTCCTCCAAACATAGGATTACTTTGGAGTGAACAGGTGACGAAGATTAAATGGAAGTAGGTCGTTTCAGGATATTTGCCATGCAGTGAGCTCAGAGAACAAGCTTTGCGGAAGCTGCAAATAATGTATCTTGCTGCAGATGAGAGCTCAGGAAACTTTTAGATGATCTGCACTATTGGATTCTCATTACTTAGGAGATCAAGTCCAATATCATTTTTTGATGTAGAAATGCTGCTACACAGAGCACTTCCCTAGTCACACAATAACGTTGTTAAGGTGGAATCATTTTAACTCAAACTAGCCCTATTTCAGAAAACTGCTTTTTTTGGGGGGGTGGGGGACTGGCTATCAGGATGAAGTCAACTGCAGTCTCATTTTGTAGGGGTGTTTTCACAAACCATTTTTACTAGATGGGCATATAAGGGAAAGCTATGGTTAAAATATTGTTTTTAGCTGTCATTTACTCCCTCAAAATGTTTTCTAGAACAACTATGTAAGATAATCTACAGCAGGAGGAAGTTACAAACGCTGTATATTGCAGATACGTACAATTCAAATGCAAACCTGTTGTAGACAGAAACTACTTATTGTAAGAGATGTGGAAACAGTTTGAAAGAGGGATTATAGCTTTTGACACCAATAGCCACCCCACTGTTACCTCACGGAATTACAGAACTTTCTGTATAACTTCTTCTGGAAAATGCTGATTGGAGGGGCTGTTTCGAAGCCCATTGTAATAAGAACACTGTTCTGCTTACTATTTTTCCATTTTAAATTCTTTATTTTTCAAACCAACAAGTTCCAATAAATACTCAGCACCTTAGGGTTCAGCAGCTTCTTACTCCATCTCTACACTGAACGTATTTGGACTTACTCTGAATGTTAAATTTAAGGAATTTATAATTTAAAATGTAATATATATGTAGAAAAGAGGGGGAAAATTGTGCTAAGTTATATCGAATGGGTTGAATGCAGGAAAGAACTCTGTTCTCTCCATAACAGACCCTGGCTCTCTCACTAAACACCCCCCAAGAGTCTATTTTGTGCAAGTGTTACTGCCTTTCTGTTAGCACAAGAAACCTTTCGATCCAAGCCATTAAATATTATGTTCTTAAAGCAGTAAAGTTAACTCAGAATTAATAAGAAAATAAGTACTATTTATATCACATTTCCCCATTTTTTTCCCTATTTATTCTCTCCCCCACTCCCAGTACCCGCTTTCTCCCCATGGCCTCAAAATTTTCAGACATTTTATGACTTACAGCTCTCCTGATATCCACATAATTTGTACTCAAATCCTAAATATACTAACGCAGAAATAAATCTCAGTGAACACAACGACACTTCCCCAAAACAGAATCTCAGGCTATAAGCAAGAGAGAAGCACAATAAATCTTACCCTATCACCTGCGTGGTAATAATACATACCTTATCATTTCTTCTATATCCTTTGCGAAAATTTAAAATGAGCCTCTTGAGAATCAGTTCTCCGATATTTGGAAACTTTGAATTGATGATTGCTACAACCGCTGCATAAACATGAGTGAAGATAGGTGAAGCACTCTGGGCTTGCAAAATAGATCTTGAAAGCAATCCCCTATGAATGAAAATACAGACGTGCTGAAGCAGCTTTACCAAAAATTACAAAAACGATGTGATTTATACAGTAGCATTTATCCCAGCAGCTTGAGGGATGGCCGGTGACTTTTCTAGATTGCATTATTCTGGAACTCAATTCCACCAACATGGAACCGCCATCCACAGCTAGATCGTGCTCACTTATACATACAAACATAATTTTATTTGCTTGCCACCTTTCCACAGTTCAAACCACGCTCACGGCAGCTTGCAACATGAAAAGAAAAATACATAACAACCTAATGAAAGGGGTTATAAATAAAGACTAAAACATAAAAAAATACACAAACAGAACGATTTCAATATAAATCACAACAAGATCTAAAATAAAGATACAAAAACCCAACAACAACCCTGCCCCCAAGACAACACCTTCAAACAACACTCCAACCTGAGAGTCTGTTTAGCAGCCACAGCTTTTGTAGCTGGAGTCAGTCCGCGCCCCACCCTCCCAGGCTAGGTGGAAAAAGGCCTGCAAGGCAGGGAGCAGGTCTCCCAGCCCATATGCTTTTGGGTTTCCATCTTCTTTCCTGCTCCACTATCCCCCAATACATGTCTGTATTAAAATTAGCCTTTCAAAAGCTCAGATGTTATTCTGTGAATAGGCCAGATTAATCTACAATCATGTTTCAAGAAGCAACAGTTGATGAAAAAAATCACTGCTAAAAAGCAAAAAAACCAAACAAAAACCTCTCATACACAAATCCTAATCAGTAACAAGTAAACATTATTGGAAATATTCCCAAATCACTGGAGAACTACACTCTCATTATTCAAGTGTGCATTAATGTTTCCATTTAACAGATTAAGTTTCGTTTCACAATCTACTGCTTTTTTTCAAAGAATACAGACCTAGGTAAAACCAGCTGCAGCACTATTACTGTAAAAACATCATCATTGCTCTACTGGAGAAAATTGCTATAAAATAGTTTGTTTAAAAATATAGGCAAGAAAGAGCCCAAATTATTACCCGTGGGCCTTTAAGGAAACAATAACATAATCCTGCTGTATGGATCCATTAGAAAAATGGCACAGCTACAGCACACACACAAAATGTCTTCTCAAAGAAACATGTTATCTGAAAACCAGTGGTGTGTTAAATGTTAAAGATGCAAGAGTCAATTAATTACAGCAAATATAATTTGTTCCCCAAGTAAAGCACATAGTTATTTTCAGGACGGTAGATATTTACCAAGCCACTGACATCCTGCAGAAAAATGTTTGCTGACAATCTATGTTTTAATCACCGTACTTAGGCAATCTGTCGGGAGAAAATCTTCCTGGATTAGGAGTTCATTTGATGCCACTGTTTACTCCTCTACAGAAGGAGTAACTGCGACTGAACAGTCACTTTCCCGTGCCTCTAATCATGACTTAAGAAGAGAGTGGGAGCCCAAATGGCCAAACGCTTCACTACGGGAGCAAACGTTATACGGAACATGGGTCTTATTTCCATTTGATTGCCATTTTCTGGAAAAATCAGTGGAAGGGCTCTTGAGAACAAGAGGCGGCCGATTTAATCACAAGTCCTACTTTTCAGACGACTGAACTCTGCAAAGTATTGGTTTGTATTCCACTCTTCCTCCAAGGAACCCAGGCCAACAAACAGGACAGGCTGAGAATGACTAGACCAAGGTTACCTAAGGAGTTTCACGGCTGAGCAGAGAATTCTCTTTGTTCACTGGTCAACACTCAAGCCACTACACTAGATTTATAAAATTTATAGTTCACACCAACTGGTCCCTCTATCTACAGTGATCCAGGAGCCAGGAGCTGTCAGCAGGCCAGCACTGCTGGCTTATATCGAAGGAAAACCCAAACAGTTTAACACAGTAAACTTTGCAATGCATGGCACACTTAAATGGTAATGCTTTGCATGCAGAAAGCCCCAGTTCATTCTTGACATCTTCATTTTTCTTTCTTTTTGTAAAATATAATGTAGCCAAAACATTAATGGTTCCTGCCCTAGGCGCTCCAGTGACCACAAACTATGCTCATTATCATGGATCAGAAAACTCCCTCAACCTCTCTCACTACCAGGGAAATATAATGAATAGAGAGAGAACCTACCTAAGTGAAGCTGAAATTAAAAACCCTACATATACACCAAGTATTACCACCCCATCCTTCTCTCTCCCCCCCCAACTTTATTCTGTATACGTCATTAACGTCTCACTTCAAATGTAAAAGAAAGATTCTACAACCTGAAAAAGAGACAAGGCACGCACTTTTGTAAACCAAGAAAATATTTAATAACTTAGTTTTCTTAAAAAGATAACTATAACTAACAAGATTAAAACTTATTTCCTAAAGTTTTGCAGCAAAATTCTCAATTAGAAAAAAAGCAAAATCTTTTAAAAATAATAATTATGCAACACACAAATAGAAATCACTTGGTAGGTTTGCTTCGGAAAACCTGGTTTCAACCATACATCAAATTTTTCATGAGTGAAAAAGCCTCTAAAAACAAATATGATCAAAACCTTCTAAGTTCAAAAGGACTTACTCCCAGGTAAGTCTGCATAGGATTATACTTTGATCATTCTGCAAACCCTCAACAAGTCATTCATATTTAAAATGAAAATCCTAACATGACTCAAACAGCAGCTGACCAAGAGAGTATCAGACTACTTCTAACAAGTGACTTGAGACTTAATCAATAACTCTCAGATGAGCAGAAGACTGCATATCAAGAACTTGATGCTTACCTCCCTCTGACAATATTTTCCTGAAGAAGCTCATGGATAATATTCTCAATATTTGAAACGTTCACCTTGTTGACGAGACCATTGATGGATTTCTTCAGCGCTTCCCAACTCATCCTTTGATATGCTAAACTGTTTTCAAAACAAATCATTGATAAAAATCAAGAGAACAAGAAAGGAATGTATTTGCTTGTTCAGGTAGAATACCAAATATGCAATAGCACTTTTCAGTTAGCGTATTGCAAGAATGGTGTGCAAAAATAAATATCCACCTGCCTCCTTTCACTTCAATTTTACCAGAATAAATGATTTTCAGAATAGTTACACCACCGAATAGTGATCTGTCTTTTGCAATAATCAGAATAAGAAAACCATGACAAGAGACAACCAGAAAGGGCAACTTTTCCCATTTACATGGCACCCCAGTGTGCCTCACACATATGGTTGACATGTTCCAGAACCAATCAGGACTCCCAGCAGCTAGGATAGCTCAGTCGGTAGAGAATGAGACTCTTAACCTCAGGATTCTGGGTTCGAGCCCCACAAGGGGCAAAAGATTCCTGAGATCCAGGGGGTTGGTCCCTTCCAATTCAACAGTCTATGATTCTATGAACTCTATTTAAAGCTTTGGTTTTATTCTCATGTGACGAACGCCAGAACCTAAAGCATTTGTCATTTATTTCGTAACATTTCCACACCGCTCGATTGTAATAAAACCTCAAAGCCATTTACAAAAATAATAAAACAATAACGTATCAGCAAAAAATAATTTCCGACAAACATTTAAAACATTCAATTTGTATCAACAATATGTCAAAACAAGATTAAAACACGTAACAGCTTCTATATGTCTGGATAGGCTTGATTAAACAGAACTATTTTTAGCAGGTACCAAAAAGTGAAGTCAAAAGTTCCAAGGAACGAGCAATTTTGAGATACACAGAGGGTAACTGTGACTTTAAAGATGAATGGGAACCCTTTACAAAGTATTTGAAGACGCAACAAAGCGAACTGGACTCCTTGGCGGGCTTTGAATAAACATTCACAAACTTTTTATTGATAGTAATCAGCTAAATAGTTTGAGGATCTATACAACTTTGTAACATGCAGAAAACAGCATTCTCAGAGAAACCAAAGACTGGAACTGAGGGAAGCCGGGGAGTGGGGGTGGGTGGGTTTTGTGTGGGAGGGTGGGGGGAGTGAGGAAAAATGGGGGGGGGAAATAAGGTTGATATGTTTTTGGATAATATGTTTTGTTTTAATTTTGAATTAAAAAATTGTTTTTTAAAAAGGAGATACACAGGTTTGTTTTTGGGTTATCTGAAACTCCCAAGGTGACTTAGAAATAAAGTTAAACCGTCTTAACATTTCACACTTCAGAGGCCAAAAAGGTCCCTCTCAGCACACAACAAACGTCTCTGCCGCCACTCAGGCTAACTTGCAGCTGGGTTACCACCCTGCTCTCTCTGCACCTTCTTGAGGGCTGGATCCAAAGTTAGTCAGAAGGTAAAGTCCAGTCAAAGGCAACTATGGGGTGCGGCACTCATCTTGCTTTCAGGCTGAGCGAGCCAGCGTTTGTCCACAGGTCATGTGGCTAGCCATGACTTAACCGCTTCTGGCGCAACAAAACACCGTGACAGAAACCAGAGCGCACGGAAATGCCATTTACCTCCCCACCGCAGCAGTACCTATTTATCTATTTGCACTGGCATGCTTTCAAACTGCTAGGTTGGCAGGAGCTGGGACAGAGCAACGGGAGCTCACCCCGTCACAGGGATTCGAACCAGACCTAATCGACAAGCCCAAGAGGCTCAGTGGTTTAGACCACAGTGCCACCCTTGTCAGAGTAGACTCACTGAAGTGACTGGGTCATTACTCATTTCAATGGGTCTGCTCAGCAAGTCTGCAGCCAACCTTGCCATCTCAGTTCTGTCTCTTCCCTCTAAGATGGCAGCTCCTGGTTAGCCAATTTCTACAAGTTTTTTGGGCAGGGCCGGTTAAAAATTCCCCAGTCGACAGCTGAGCAGTATCTTTATTAGGACCAACCAGAATGTCACAAAATTATGGCAAACTTTTTAATTCTGAACTTTTCAATGGGCATGATGTTGCACCAAAGGGGTATGTATGTATATGTGTGTGTCAGAGAGACAAGGAGGAAGTACTAAATCTTATACTGTTTTGTTTTTCTCCCCACCTTTAAATGATATCTTGCCCAATACTATTCATCAGTTAAGCACAAATGTGAAATGTGTTTGTTTGACCCACCTATTTTTATCAGTGATTTGTGCTTGCATCATCCGAAGCTTGGCTGGAGGAATGTAGGCACCCCCAGTGCGGGTGAGAATTGGATCCACATCCTCTTTCTTCTTCTTTGGAGGGGGTTCCTCATGAGAAAGAGAGCTCTGTGGTGTTGCTCTCTCAGCCGCATTTCTTCTGTCGGGCGAAGGGGATCTTCGGTACTTTCTCCAGTCAGACTCCCTCTCTCTTTCATGCCTCTCTCTCCCACTAATAGACAGAAAATTCCAAAGATTTATTAAGTACAGAAACAGCTGACAATCACATACATTAGTATGTAACATGCTGTAGCTTTGATTTTGTTTATAAATCACGTTAGAGAACAGAAGCAACCAACTGCAACCTGAACATTTTAGTGTTTGTTTTTAGCAGCTCCAGACATTCACCTTGACTCACTGTATTTGTCTCCATAACGTCCCCTTTCGGAATGTTTTTGGTCAGATCTCCTGTAATCTGAATGACTTCTGCCTTGCGGTGACTGAGACCTTTGACGTTCCATGTGCCTATGCATAGATTGAGAGCAAAAGTTAGCAGCTATTTAAAAACAAAGTCTCCCCCCTACACACAAACACACATTGTTGTATCTGTGGACACCACACAGCTTTCGAAGCTAGAGGCTGGAGCCAGCACTAGGACTCCTGCTAGTACAAAGGGTTTCCCAGCAACTCTTCTCCCCTGCACGCCATCCTCAAACTGGTTCAGACTTACTTTCTCGCCAAAAATTATTTTCCTGTTGCGATACTGATCTTTGTTTTCATTGGTTAAAACAGAGGACACGTGATACTTATTCCGCAAAAGTCTGAAACCCAAATACTGCTATTGTTTTAATTAGGTTCAGAGCTTTTATAATAACAGGAAAATACTTCTCCCCACACCCATGTTGCTGTTTCTATCAAATGTTAGCTACATAACTAATCATAAAAAAATGTTTATACCTGTCTTCTGGAGAGGAACTTCTCCGGCGAAGATTGTAATCTTCCTTCCTTTCATAACTAGAACCAGACTTTAAATACAAAATAAATTAGACATTTCAAGGATGAGAAGTACCAGCCAGAATGCTAAGAACAGTATTTCATTTATTTCTAACAGTATTTTCAAACCCTCTTCTCTTAAAGATGCTTGGAGAAACAAAACCATTTCATTCATTAGATGAAATATCAAATTATAGGTGCACAACTTATGTTGATGGGAGAGAATTCCAAAGTACTGGTCCCATTAAAGTAAAAGCCTTAGTTTACATAGAAACTAAATGAATGTGTATGCAACTTCCAGTCACTTAACAAAACTTTTCCTTGCACACTCCCAATAAAGCTGCTCCACACAACCGATGAATGTTCTGAAGGGGGATTTGCTGCCAGACAATGGGCTTCAGTTTGAAAATTAAAAAAGGCAACTCCTTCCATTATAAGAAAAAAGCCCTTTTCACTCAGATAGAAGGCTTATTGGATTCTAGCCACCGTATTTTCTTAAAAAGTGGTGCAATGCAGGACACAGCAACTCCAGCTGTGCTGCCACCAGCATTTTATGCAAGCTGTTTTTGTATATCACCAAAGGACAGCATCCAACCAAGTAGTTTCTCAGAACAGAACAGGGAGTGGAGAGGGAAGAGAGATTCTGTTGCACAGTCAGAAGTCCTTGAAGGAACAGAACTACTTCACTGAGTACTGCCCTATTCCCCTTCACACCCTGGTATTTGTCAGTATTTGATATCAACTCAATTCTCACAATTCACTAAGTCCCAAACAGAAAATGTGGCATCCAATTGGGAAAATGAGTCCTTTAACAGAACAGGGTAGAAAGGCCATTATTTGTGAAACCCTCTTACCCCTGTATCTGTATACCATCCACAAAATGCTATATCCATATTAGACATGCAAAATGTCGTTTTTATATTACACAAAGAGCGACAAAGAGATAAGACACTTAATGGCTAGCTTTTGTTCATACGATACATGCTTTCATAGGCTTAAACTGTTTCACTGATGCCTGCTTACCTACAGAGTGATGGGGAAAATATTCACACCACTATGTGTGAAAGTAGAATGTGTATTGACCACATATACATGTAGCTCTTCTATGAGGAAAGAGTCACAGCTCATTCGCAGAGCACATGCTTTGGATGCAAAAGGTCCGCCAGGTTCAATTCTGGTATCCATGTTGGGTTGAGAAAGCTGCCAATCAACATGGACAATTCTTTACTGCATGTTCTGACCTGGTACAGAACAACGTTTCCTATTTTACATGGAAGCTAACGACCAATATATGTTACTACTATGGTTCCTCTGCCATCTGTCTCTGGAAAGCAGGAGTTACCATGACCAGCTAAAAAGGTAAAGGTAAAGGACCCCTGGACAGTTAAGTCCAGTTGAATTTGACTATGAGGTGCAGTGCTCATCTCGCTTTAGGCAGAGGGAGCTGGCGTTCGTCCACAGACAACTTTCCGGATCATGTGGCCAGCATGACTAAACCGCTTCTGGTGCAATGGGACTCCATGACGGAAGCCAGAGCGCACGGAAATGCTGTTTACCTTCCCACCACAGCGGTACCTATTTATCTATTTGCACTGGTGTGCTTAAGCTGGGACAGAGCAACTGGAGCTCACCTCGTCACATGGATTCGAACCGCCAACCTTCTGATCAGCAAGTCCAAGAGGCTTAGTGGTTTAGACCACAGCACCAGCATGCAGACTAGGTGATGCGGACTCACTGAAAAGTGTCTTGTCTGAGAATGCCCCCAAATCCTGGAGCCAGCATAGAGCATACTCTTTAAAATACTTACATTTATCTGTGTTACTCCACTCTTCATTTTTTCTGTCAATCCACTTCAAGCTCCGAATTACTAATGTCAATGTACAAAAATCAATATGGGGAAATCCTGTTATTCTTCCAGAAAAAATAGCTCATCTAGAAAGGGGGGGAAAGATGCGACTTTCTGAAATAAGAGCACTTTGAAAATAAAGCAGACCTGAACAAGCTAATATTTCTATTAACAAAGATTAAATCACCTGGTTTGTACAACAAATGAATTTGGTTAGTGTCTTTTTGAAGCTAGTACAGTACCATCACTTTGTAGTTTTGTAAGTTAAGTATCTGAACAATTATCGGGTGTAATTAACCTACAGGAAAGTAAGACAACAAAGATGCAGATTACACCACTTGTCAGCCACCATCGCCATATGCTACAGGTATCTCTAAAACAGGGCGGTTGTTAACATCAGGACTAGAACTAAAGCTGTACGTCTTTGGTCCATTTACAAGCCGCCCTTCTGTGAAAAAAGAAGCAGCAGCAGCAGCCTAGGGCAACATATGGCCTGAAATAACAAGTGCAATAAAACATTGATTTGTTTTGTTGATCAAGTGGCATATAGATCCTGCAAAAGAATAAGAAGCTGCAAAAGCTTCCAGTAAAATCAGTAAAGTTTATATATATATATATATATATATATATGAACTCTAGGTTTCCCGAGGTGGGGCTGGTGGTGACATATGTGGAAATACAAAGGTGTGTACCTCAAGTGGGGGGCCCCATAACCATCCAGATGCTGCCAGGCCACCAAACCCCACCGTCCCCAAAAGGGGAGATGGGGGGGGTGCGAGCCCGCCAGTAAGGGGAGAACGAGTTGGCAGCTGGTTTTTGCCCTTGAAGGGAGAGAAGCCGGCTGACACAACCCCACAGGGCATTGTGGCAGGGTGACAAGGCAGCCAGCTGGCAATCCCCACAAGGCGCCAGGACCCGGCCTCGTTGGGCACATTCACGTGTGAACGCGGGCCCACACGCGTGTCGTAGAAGAGCCGCCCCGCCAGGAGTCGGACGAGAAGCGAAGGAGCCGGGCCTTCCGCCCTTACCCAATCGAAGGCCAGGAAGAGCGGCGGCCGAGAGGAACGCGCCATCCTTCCCCCCCCCCCGCCGTTCCCGCGATAAATCGGAGGGAGGGGGATGGAACGGAGCAGAACCGAAGATTCTAAGGGAGGGGTGTGAGGAGAAGTCTATCCTCCCTCCCGCCCCGCTCCCCTTCCTTAAAACTTACCTCTGCCTCACGGGTTCCGCCATAACATGCGCCCATATATCGCCACGACGTCACTTCCGCTGCCTCGCGGGCCTGGCCCGAGCGAGACTTCCGGGCGCGCGGGTGAGGCGGGGAGGAGCCGTTGGGCTTCTTTCTCCTCCTCTTGGGATATCTATATCTATTTATCTATCTATGAACGTTTAGTTAGAGCGGTACCCGTTTTATGAGGAGATATTCCGGCCCCGCGCGGGAACCTTTGGGGAGGGGGAGGAGGCGGGCGCTGACGTCACCAAGTCGGCTGTTAACAGCGAAGGTGGATCTCCTCGAGCGGCTCTTAATGAAGCTACAGTTCCCGGCATCCTTTGCCGGCGGCGTCGGCCACGTTTCCCAGCATTCCTTGGGGCGTTGCACCTGTCAAGTTGTACGAATCCGCGAGGGTGCCATTGTGCCCACAGGTGTGGCAACCCCAGACTTAAGACCCACGATATGTTCTACAGGGCTTATTCTCATTTAAGCGTCAATTCCCATTTAAGCATAATTCTTAGGTTAGCAGCCTGTGACTTTGCCTCAGAGACAATGGTAAACATGGCAAAGCGCTGGGCTTCAAAAGTATGTTAAGTCAGTGTTAAGACTTTATTTTTGTTCCATTTATATTTCATATTTTAAAGTAAAAAAAAAAAGGTTGCCATCTTTACATTTTCCAACCAGACTCGACGGGAGGGGGAGGACCCGTAGCCCAAAAAGCCCCACGTCTAATCTGAAATGCAGATAACACAGAAATAACAAGAATGATAATAAAAGAATGATAATTATCCTTTCAATGAGCTGCTTTTCAAACAACTCGTTTGTGGTGAATATGCTGGGGTTGCTAATTAGCATTTTTATTTAAACACAGTGAGTTGTTGATGAAATTGCCCCAATTCAACAGTCTGGCAGAAGCGCTGTTTTAACACCTATCTCATAGGAGGAAATATAACAACCGTCTGCTTAGATGCTATAGCTATAACCCGTTTTGCTGATGAAGCAGCAGGCTCCTTTCACTGCAAGAATGCTACCCTTTGCAGTTTCTTTCTGAAAGGCGAGACCAAATATGCTGTGGGTATATACAGAAAGCATCTGTAGAAACTGTCTATAGAAATCTGACTTAGAGAGAAGAAAGATTCATTTGCAAAATTATTTTGTGACAGCAGAATGCATAAATGTGCCTGTCCTTTAGTTGTATTTCTCTGACCTCATATTTACCAGTACAAGCCCAGTTCACTTTACTGAAGTCAGCAGTGGCAAAACATTTCCCAGCACCTAGAAATGTACAAGTCTTGCTTACCCACATATTTTAATAAGCTCTGGATTTGTTTTTCTAAAACCTACACAAAAATTCTGCTCAGCCTTAGCGACTGACCTTTCAAGGACAAACCAAGGATGAAAGCCAAAAGCCACCTTCCCCACTTTTGCTATTTGCTAAAGGCCCTATTATTTCTGCTGTATTTTGTATTCTTTTCCTATGTAAAAACCTTACCTCCGTTGATTTTAAAAATCAAAAGGGTGTTTCTTCTTCAGGCTGAAAAATATACTAGAATAATATAGTGGGTGATATTCAGCAAAATATATGTGTGAGCAGAATGATGTGTCCCCCACATCCCCAAATCTGCTCCAGAGGGTTGGGGGAATCCCCAGGACAGATTTAGGGTGATGTGGCGTGAAGAGAGCCGGTAAATACTCCATTATGCAAAAAGAAATCTTTCTGCTTGCACAATGCAAGGTCTACTTAGTTCTGCTTTGTATAAAACCTAATTATTCCACAATATGCTATGGATAATTAAAAATATATCTCAGCACCTGCATTGTGAGAAATTACAAGATGTGCACCGTATGGTGCCATATTAGTCAGATGCACACTCTGAGATCAGGGATGGGGAACCTGTGACCATAAGCTACAAGCAACACATCCAGTGGTCATGGATTATGGGAGTCCAACAATGTCTGGAGGACCACAAGCTCCCCATCTCTGATTTAAATGTTTGTGCGATAGAGACAAGGTGTATTTGCCTTGAATCTCAGTTTGAGGGAAAAGGTGGGATATAATGTAAATTAATAAATCAGCTTCTTAGTATGGGGATGGCCATCTGCATGTTGTATGTTCCGGTCAACTGTATAACCTCGTAGTTATTCATAACTAAATTTACATTTTTTTCTGACATGTTTTATTCTTTATGAAGTTGGTACCTGCTCATGGATTCCTGTGGACAGAGAATATTCTGTATACTAATCTTCTTTATTTATAGTCTACTGTTCCACTTGAAGACCTTTAAAATGGCTTGCAGTATTAAAAAACTCAGTGCTGCTCATTTAACTAGTCATGTTGACAACTCCATTATCCAGTATCCAGATGAGAGCATTTGCCTACCACTTACCTAGGTGACCTTAGCACGCAAGGCAACCAGGGAAACTGGAGCTCTCTGTGTGGCACAGTGGGCCTTGAGCTTCAGTCGTTTTCAGTGAGATGATGTTTCAGAAGGAACAGGAAGTGCAAGTGTATTGTGCTTCCTGTTCCTCTGCACCTCCATCTTGATTTATATAGAATTGTCATAGGAGATGACCATATTCCAGGTATGGGGAACATGTGATAATTCTGTTTCAGACAAAATAAAGATCCAGAGGAACAGGAAGCTCAACACACTTGCTGCTTCTTGGATTTTCTACAACGTTGCGAAGTCCAGTGCTGTGTTTATTTGATATGAAAACAGCGTGCTCTGATGTATGATACATGCTTCTTCAGGGGATAACAGAAATGCATTAATATAGAATTTGCCATGTTAACCTATTTAAATCATGTTGTATTAACATGAGTTTGGCCCTACCACCTGGTACTGTGTCATGTCAAATCAAATATTCTGACAGAAGGACATAATTTTACTCGGAGCCAGATGTTTTCGGAACAGATTGAAAGGCAAACACCATTCTGTAACATAAAATGTACCATTCTGCTAGTTTGTGTCTTGGTTTTTAACTGTGATGCTTTAAGTAAGTTTACTTAAAGTAAATTTGAAATGAAACAAAATGACTTTGCTCATCCTTAATGAAACATCAGGTCACTCCCACAGGCTGCTGGAGCTGCAGTTAGATGGTTAATAGCTTACTTTTGAAATGGTGCCCTGGAATTAAAACAGGTTCCCATTTTATCTTCAATCCTTTGTGTCATTTAATCCCAATGTTTCTGACCTTTCTGCTGATTTTATACCAGAGTAGTTCTGACTTATCAGGATAATGTCCTCACCCCTGATTTATGCTGATGTAATTGAAGGCAGAATTGACTTGTGCATTTTTAAAAGGAAGAGAGTGCTTCTATGCAATTTTAAAATAGCATTGGCTGGCTGAATAACAACCTTCTATTCTAGCAGGGAAGTTACAGCTATTCTAGCAGGGAAGTTACAGCTCTCTGTGAAATGGGAAGTCGCATATGCCAGAGGGCAGTGACAGGGAATGCGATAAAGACTGTAAATGAATAAACAAATATCAATAATTCCGCATAATGGGTTCAGTTTTGTTGAATTAAATGTGAGCTTATGAGCAAGCAGTGATGAGGCATAAAGGTCTCATGTGATAGTGTAAGAAGACTACTGGTCAGTCTCTACCAAGTATTGTGATGATGACAATGCTGCAGGAGAAATGGTTGTATTGTGCTGGTTCTTATGTAAGGAGCTTGTTCTGCTTTGGTGAGGGCAGCCATGGACCCCTATGCAGCAGCAACTTAAGAAGCATTAGAACAATCCAGGTTTGTCTGTACCAGTTTAGCGCTGCACCTTTGGGATGAATACTGACTGTCAAGCTTTTAGGGTGTTCAGTGAGCCAGATTTGCATGAGGCAACCTCAAGATACTGTACTGTATTTGAATAGAGCCAGTGCAGTTGGGTGGGTCCTGCATCCCTGAGAATTTAGGAACTTGGAGGATGAACAATGTTGTCACGTAAAAATCATGGTTATAGCTGGTGCTTGGTGACCTACTTGCAAATGATAATTTATTTTTCTTTCTAGATAACTCATGGTAAAGCTAATTATAGCTACTTATGCTTCCTTCCCATTGACTAACCTCATCAGTGGCTGGATTGAAAACCCCATATAAACTATCATCAGTTCTTGCAAGGAAGATTCACAATCAGTCACAACATACCATCCTGGGCTACTGTTATGTCCTTATGGTTTTTTCATGAGATTGTTTGTTCCTTTTTTCTCTGATGTTGGATTGGACAGCTTGGTAACACTGTATGTTTCTCTCTCACCCACACACCAAGCAGGAAATCCTTATTGGGAAATGAAATTGCTTCACTGATGGCCATATGGCCCTATATCTGTGGACACCTGTTCGCAGCATGGGGCAAGAAAAATGAATATTTCTTGCAGAGCAATTTTGGAGAACTCTAAACATTATCTGCATTTGCTGCCTTTAAATTGGGGAGCATTGCACTATGGGGATGAGCATGAAGATTCAGGTAAAGGCAGTTAACCATTTTTGGTCTCTAACCTCACATGACTGTCTAGTTAATGTCCTGTCTGTTTTGATGATTCACTTGGTGGCTTGGAGTTAAATGTTTTGACAGCTGAAATATTACATGATCAATGAGGGCGGAGGAAGCAATATTTTTGACGCAACACAGCTGTTTTCAGATTTGAATGAGCTTGCCTCAGTTCAAGAGAAATCCAAGCTGATAGTTTGAGCCCAAATTATGTCAGGACGGTGAAGGTTGCACTTAAGGTTCTACCAACTAGAGTTGAAATAGCTGTATTTTCAGCTGGAAAGGGCATGTAGAATGGGGAAAACTTTACCTGTTGGCTTTCTGCTCATTCTGTCCTGCCAGGATTCAAAGAATTGTAGAGTTGAAAAGGAACCATGAGGGCCATCTAGTTCAATCCCCTGCAGTACAGGAATATTTCGCCCAACGTGGGGCTCAAACCTACAACCCTGACAAAGGTGGCCACCAGACCTGCTCCCCACAAATCAGATGTCTGCAAAGCAGTCTCAGCTGTGTCATGTCTGTTCCCTGTCTGTATATTCATTCACTTCCAAAAGACCCTGCTGTACAGTCTGAAAGCAAAGCTACAGAGGATAAGGCTATCAGTGGCTACCAGTCATTGGTGGCATATGTATTGCCTCTGAATGACAGTTGCAGTG